TCCTGTTTCAAGCTTTGTGTCTCTAGTGATTGTAACCAGTATATGCAAGTTTTGATTCGGTTATGAGTACTCTCAGTGTGAAATATTTTGGGCTTAATTTTGTTCCATTCTCACAAAACAGATGGTTTAAATCCGTGTTCAGGTTTTCGTTTTAGTTTGTTGTTCTGTTTTTATGAATCATTGTTTTTATGCTTGTGTCTGTTCATAAGATCGTTTTAGTTTGAGCTTTTTGACTATGTTTCTATTAAATTTATATATATGAATGCTCTGTAACTTTTTCTTTACTGATGAAGTTCTTCTGTCTGGTTATGTTGTTGAAGATTTCTATAACCAATGTGATCCTGGTAAGTTACAATCTCTTTTCATGTGCCGCATCATTTGTGTTTTTGATTAATCGATAAACTTTTTTACTTTCTGGAGGGCTGATTGCAACAAGGTCTTCCTTAACATTCATAAATCAGTATCATTATGTTGATCTATTATGATGTTTGAAGATTTTTTGTTTTTTTTGCACTGAATGTAGGTTTAATTGTCTTATATATATATATATATATATATATATATATATATATATATATATATATATATATATATATATATATATATATATATATATATATATATATATATATATATATATATATATATATATATATATATATATATATATATATGTTGTTCATTGATGTACTCATGACGTATATTGTGGTACAGGAAACGCCTTTTCAATATGATCAATGAACTGCCATCGATATTTGAAGTTGTTACTGGTACAACAAAGAAACAAGTTAAGGAGAAGTCTTCGGTTTCAAACCACAGTGGAAGCAAATCCAAGTCCAGCTCAAAAGTGGTAAATAATATTTTTCTATGCCTGGCTGATACATCTACTTTTTATACAGACGTGTGTGATACTGTGACGGTGAAGAACTGTGATTGATTTTCAGATGTCTGTTTTTAGATGCATGCCCTATTTAAAATTGAGTAGCAGTTAGTTTATAACAGTGTGTTTTCTCGGACAAGAATTCGAGGAGGACAATTGAAAATGCTAGAAAATGGAATGTCCTTTATTACTCTATTTGGTACTTTCATAGGGGAGAATGAATATAAGAAATATGCATCTCTTATGCTTCTTAAAATTACTCTCGGACCAGAAGTTGGGACTGAAAATGTACTCCATATTTGTTTGTGGCTATATGAATATTCGATTAGTATTATACGCATTGTTGTCATATTTGTGTTTCTTTTCTATTTTATAACCTGGCTAGTTCTGTTTTTAGTAAGAGGTAGAGATGATGGTCGTGGAAGGTTTCGCCAGCTCCTAGAAATGAGTCATTTAGGTGATACAAAGATTAACGAAGAGGGATCTTTAGATGACCAAGGTCCTGAACAGGGTCAGGATAGAAGTGCTAGTGGACAGGCTTGTCAAGAAGATCCCTGGATAGATGATGAACCATCTAATGGACTCAGCAAAGGTGCTGATGTTGGTGAGGTGGATTCTGATGGGGAGGATAGATGGTGTTGTAGAGATATGCGTGATGGCATGATAAAATATGGTGAGCATGAAGACAATGGTAGGGACGAATCTTCAAGGCGGCGTACTAACCGTGGATTGGGAAGATCAAGGGGGAAAGGAAGGGCCAACGATGGGCTGCTAGAAAGTGAACCCATTTTGTCATCTGCTGGTTCTGCCAGTCGATTAGGACAGGGGCGAAGTGGTAGAGATAGGAGTTCTTTGAAGAACACTGATGTTAAACAGGTACCTGATTCTAAAAAGGCTCTTACCAGTACCGTTTCCGAAAGAGAGGATAATGATGCTTGTTTCCAAGAGTGCTTTATTGGAAGTAAAGATATCTATGATCTTGTTTGAAAAGCAGTCCAAGCTGCTGAGACTGAAGCTAGATCAGACAATGCCCCTGAAAAAGCTGTCAAAGCAGCTGGTGATGCTGCTGCTGATCTTTTAAAACTGCAGCTTTAGAGGTATGCCAATGCTCATTCCCTTTTTTCCACTACAAAAAAATATACTTTTGCAAAAATACGTGTCGGTGTCCAGTATTGCATATTTTATTTTCACAATTGAAATGACATTTTATTTCATGTATAATATTCAGGAATACAAATCCACGAACAATGAAGAGGTATCTTTTTTGGCTGCTTCTAGAGCTGCATCAACTGTTATCGATGTTGCATCTGCTGTTGAAGTTTCAAGGTACATGAGAATAATATTATGAGCAATTTAAATGCTCAGACAAACAATTGCCAGATAGGTTCTTTTAGTCCTGTTGACAATGTTCTTATTGGGTTGGTCACAAGAAATTTGTCTACATTAGTACAGAGACAGAGAATGTTAGTGGCCGAGAAACAAAATCTAGTGAGGATGTTGAAGATTATTTCATCCCAGACATTCAAATACTTACACAATTGAGGGAAAAATATTGCATTCAGTGTCTTGTGTTACTTGGAGAATATGTAGAAGTTCTGGGACCTGTATTGCACGAGAAGGGGGTTGATGTTTGTCTTGGACTTTTGCAGCAAAGTTCTAAATATCAGGATCCATCCAAGGTTGCTTTCCTGTTACCCGATGTCATGAAGCTGATATGTGCTTTAGCTGCCCATAGGAATTTTGCTGCACTATTTGTGGACCGTGGAGGAATACAAAAGCTGCTTGCTGTACCTAGAATGGCTCAAACATTCTTTGGCCTTTCTTCTTGTCTATTTACTATTGTTCCCTTCACGTATTCATCGCAAAAATTATCATAATCATGATGTGAGATGTGTAATAGCGATTATACTCCAAACCTTTATGTACATTTTCCTTGTAACTAATCTTCCTACAATGCTATTACATTATTTTGACTATAGATGATTATTTCAGGGGATAATGGAACGGGTTTGCGCTCTTCCTTCTGATGTCATTTATCACGTAGTTGAGTTGGCTCTCCAACTCATTGAGTGTAATCAGGATCTTGCCCGGAAGAATGCAGCACTGTTGTTCTCTGCCGCATTTGTCTTCCGAGCAGTACTCGATGCTTTTGACTCTCAGGATGGCTTACAGAAATTACTGGGCCTTCTCAATGATGTTATTTCCATAAGATTAGGAGTAACCTCTGGAGCCTTGGGCTTGTCTAACTCAGGATTACTTCGAAATGACAGAACATCATCCGCATAAGTGCTGACATCATCTGAGAAGCAGGTAGCCTATCACACTTGTGTTGCTCTACGTCAATATTTCAGAGCACACCTCCTATTATTAATTAATTCTATTCATCCAAACAAAAGCAATCGCAGTGCTGCTAGAAATATTCCAAGTACCAGGGCTGCTTACAAGCCACTTGATATTAGTAATGAGGCAATGTTTCTGAGATTTTGTTTTGTAGGTCTTGTTTTTAATATTTATGGTTCTGCAGGTCTTGTTTTTAATATTTATGGTGTAATGGTTAAGACTGTTTTGGGTCTTGTATTTCCTTTTCACTTTCTTGTAAGTCGATGTTTCTGAGATTTTGTTTTGTTTAATGATGTCTCGCTCATCCTGTGCAGGAAGTTCTGGTTTTCTAGTACACTGATGGCTAACCCAAGTAACAGATCTACACCGACAGTGTAGAATTAACTTGATTTAAATTATCTTAGTTTTCCTATTTGTAGTCACAGAAGCAGCATAGGACATTGATACTGTTAAGAACAGGGGAGTTATCAAAAATAGTAACAACAAACTATTTTCTTTCAAGATGACTCCAAGAAAATCTCATAGGTAATGCATACTCTTTCTTTCTGCTCTTATGTTAATGGTTTATATCAAACATAGTAACACAAACTATTTTATCTCAACTATCAAGTAGTAGTTTGTATTATTTTAATGATGTTTTTAGTGAACATTCAAGTCCCTAAAACCTCAATTAATAATACATTTTACTGCTCATTCTAGCTATCGTAATGTCGTTGTAGTTCGTCCACATGCCGGTGAGTTAAAAATTCCTCTATATTTTACTTTTGAATTGCTCTCTGATTTTCTGTATGAAATGTCCAATATTAAACTTCAGTTAGTAGTTTGGACATTATAGGTATTAAACTCAAAATGTTATGGAAATTAGTGCTACTAAGACCGGGTCATCTAGTTCAACTAGGAATCAAATCTGCATTAACTGCAAAACCAGTGCATGTGTCATGAGATGGACAATGCATACAAGAGTAAAATTTAATTGCCAATAACTTATGTGATCCATCCTTGATTATAGTTGCTTAAAAATCATATTCTTTGGTGGGTTTCTTTTGATGATGGTCTTGCATGAAAACCATTGATTTGATCACATTATATTGCAGGATTGTTGTTGAAGCAAACCTTCCTGATGTACAACTTTTTGCCTTGGAAAATATGCATTATAGCAGTAATTAGGTCAATTTAGTTACACTTCTTATACTTGAGTTCTCCTGCATTTGGTATAGTATTGATATAGGCTCACAAGTAAATAGAATAGTAAACCAGGATTTTCCATCCTAATTAGTGGTGCAAATATGTCTTGTTGTTCACTATTTGGAATAAATAGAAAGACTGGGACTGTTTACTATTTATCATTCTCCCTTATTGATTTCCTTATATTAGAACTCTAAAATTGCAGAGAGAGATTCTAGATCTTAAATTCTGTTTCTTGTTTTTCATTCTACAATTCTGTTACAACTTACAACAGCTTATATATAAGCTGGGAAGTGACCTGCTATAAAAGGCTCTAACCAAATCTTACTGCACCATTTAGATTGAAGGGACTCATTCCTAACCGAGTGACCTGCCGTAATTTTGTTCCATATCTATGAATCAATTGTCCTCATTATAATTCAGATTGAAGAGACTATGTTCCTAACCAACAGACCCACATAGAAACCCCACTATGCTCACTTAACAGTGATTATAGTTCTAATCTTCTTTTCGCAGGTAGCTGAATCTCTTGGGATAAGTTCTGAAATAATGCATTTAAAATATTCTTCTTGTCTTGACCTTTCCAAAGCAGTAAATGCACATAAGTTTGGTAGTTGTATTGATCTTTTCGCAGGTGGCTGCACTGAACTACAAGGTTATTATTCTTGACGAAGTACATGAAAGATCAGAGGAGTCTGATCCTGTACTAGTTTGTGTAAAACGGTTTTTGTTAAAGAACAATGACTTAAGGTTAGCATCTTGGTTTTGTTAGTGTTGAAAGGATATTTTGAAGAGTGAATTAAAGAGAGTTCTATGTGCATATTTGTAAGAAAGTAATTTATATATTTAAAGATTATAAGTGACATGCAATTGTTTGTTTAATTACAGCGATACCATGATAATATATTATGCGTTTGTAGGGTGGTTTTGATGTCTGCTACTGATGATATTTCAAGATATAGGGACTACTTTAGAGATCTTGGTAGAGGCGAACGAGTTGAAGTTCTTGCAATTCCTAGCTCAAATCAGCACATGGTTTTCCAACGAAGTGTTTCATATGTTGACCAGGCATGTATATGTACTCTGCGCAACTTGTTTTTCAGACAATAAGCTACCAGAATACCCTACGCAACTTGAGGAAGTTTTGCTTTTGGAAGAGCGTGTTGGTGAAGCCAAAAGATTAGCAGCAACTAAAAGACTACAAAACAGATTATGGAGGGCTCATGATGATACTAGAAGACCACAAATGATTTTCTTTATTGGTGCTATAACTGGAAGTAATATTTAAGCTTTTGTAGATGTTCATGTCTATCCTCTAAGGCAAAATCATACCAAAGATTTCTTTAGCCATCGGTAGAAAATCTTGGATCAATCACTTGGTGTGGAAAATTGGGCAGAATATCTTGGATCATCATAGGTTGTACAATTATATTGATTATATTGTATATATCAAGTTATAGATTATGACATTTGATCATTTAAATATTCATAAGTATATATTTAGTAGAAAATATAATAAGTTATTTAGAAAAGTGATATAATGAAATATCAATTGTTTTTTAAGTTATATATAAATTTATATATTTGTTATATGTGAGTCTTTATATATTTGATATACGTGAGTCTTTATATATTTGATATATTACCAAAAAAACAATAATAGTTTAAATTAAAAAAACTATTATAAAAAAAATGAGATGAAAGTAATTTATATAAAAATAGAATATTAAAAAAAAAATTCTATAGATAAAATTACGACGGTTTAAACCGTCACAACTAGCATAAAAAATATTTAGAATTAGTAAATATAATTACGACGGTTGAAAACCGGCACAATATAAAGATTACGACAGTTAGCTACCCGTCGTGAAAATAAATAATATTTAGAATTAGAAAATATAATTACGACGGTTGAAAACCGTCACAATATGGAGATTACGACAGTTAGCTACCCGTCGTGAAAATAACGACGGTTTGTACGACGGTTTTCACAACCGTCGCAATACGGCCTCGCGACGCACGTTTCTGCGACGGGGTTGAAACCGTCGTAACTTACAAATTGCGACAGTTAAAACCGTCGTAATATGTCAAAATGAACCGTCGCAATTTGCCAATTTTCTTGTAGTGTTTTCCTTTTTATTTTCTTTTTTTGATTTTTCTTTTGTTCTGTTTCAATTTAAATCAAATAAAATAACTCCAATGTTCTAAAAATTTAACAAAAATATTTTTCATAAACTTTGAGATGTCTAATATTTTTAGTACATTTTTATTTTATTTTTTGATTTTGTTTTCAATTAAAAAAGAATTAAATATTGGAGTTGTTTTAATTGAATTGAATTGTGACATTGTTCGTTCTTGCATTTGTTTCTCTCATTTCTTTTTGATCCAATGAATGAAAATTGATTCTCATCTCAATGATGAGTTGATCAAATTTTGAGGACCATTTTGCCCCTGGTTGGTTGACTTTTGGTTTGACTTTTGTGGCTTTTCCTTTTGTCTTTGTTTCTCCCATTTCAAAGTGGTACATCTTAGGGAACTTTTTCTTTTGATGGTGCTTTGAGGGAATATTAGCCTTGTGCTTTTGGCTTCTGTTTGCCAACATGTTTAGCTTCTTTGTGTATTTTATTTGTTAATTTTTGAGCCTTTTTCCTATTTTTGAGATGACTTGCAAGTTAGGTCATTTCATAGGACAACTCATACAAGTGCATGGCCTAGTTTAAATTGGAAATGACCTTTGTGGATCCATTGAGCTCTCAACTCTTTTTATTTCACATAATAGACATGTTGAGCTTGTTGTATGTTCATTTTTAGGTCAAATTTATGTTCATTGCTTGTTTATTGATGCATTTCTTTTTGAGCTCTCAACTTGAACTCCTAAGTGGTGTGTGCTTGCTTCCTTTATGCTCTTGCTTGCATTTCTTCTTGATTTGTTTTGTTCTAGCTTTTGAGCTTTCTTCTCTTCACCTCCCTTCTGTCAAATGACCTTGGAGTGTCATTTAAGGTGGCTTGGTCCCTCCTTTGGAGGTATTTGAAGCATACCTAGAATGATGAATCCTTGAGGACACTTTTGGTGCTTCTTTGCTTTTGATAAGTGATGCTTATGGTTGAGTACTATTATGAGGACCTTGCTTCCCTCATTTGGTCTCCCATCCTCACTTGACTTTGGGTTTTGTTTTACCTTTCATTTGGTTTAGTTTTTATGGTGTGGTTGATGTTGTTTGACTTAGGTCATTTCATCCCACTTTTTGATGCATCTTTGTGTGGTTTGTTTTGTTTGATTGTTCCCTTCTTGTGCTTCTCTTCTCTTTTCTTTTCCTGCATTTCCATATTCATGCTTGGTTGAGATGAGCTTGTGGAGGCTACTGCCCCACAATATTTTCCTCCCACTTTCATTCTATTTGTGCATCTTATGTTTGTATCTTCATTTGCATATGCATTCTTCTTCTTCTTCTTCTTCTTCTTTTGCTTTTTTTCGCCATGCTCCCCATAAGTTCTCTAACCTCTTGAGGTTATGATAGAAATTAGGTGCCTAACTATGCATGATAACATTAGGTAGTTCCCTTTTAAACTCAACTTTAAGTCCACTTTGCATGACAACTTTTAGGATTGATTAGTCTTCCATTAGTGTCCTTTCTTCTCTTCTCATCTTCAAACATTCATAAAACACTTAATAAAGAATGACAAGTGTAGCACGCTATGAGCCTTAAGTTACTTGAGAAATGGTAATTAAGAGGCATCCTATCAAGGACCTAGAGTGTTTAGTGTACACCCTTTGGGTGATATACAACGCATTCGCTCTTAAGTCATAGTCTCTAGTGCGACATGAGTTACAAATCAAGTTCAAAACACTTCTTCTCTAAAAAACACAAAAAAATTTCAAATCTTTTTTCATCCTTCGGGATCTTAATCAGGAAAATCTTTTCAGATAAAAGAGTGTCGTTAACCCTTAGTTCTACCGCAAACGGTAACGCCTAAGTCTCCAATGGTCGAGCTGCATACACCAACTGCTAGAACTATTTGTTAACCCTACTCGGCCTAAAAACTTTTGAACCAACCTGTGGTCCTTTTAGCCTGAACTACGTTCGCTCTGATCTTTCATACCAGATGAAAGTACGTAGGCATAAGACGTCATGTCTTAGAGAGCAACCTTTCCCCCTTCTTTACCTATAGTTAGTCGAACTACGTTGACTCTGACTTTCCCATTGCACGAGGGAATACGTAGGCACAGAGCGGCGATGCTCTGCCGAGTCACTTTTCTTTTCTTTTTTTCTTTTGTCCCTGAGCCTTTAGCTAGATAGTTTCAACACACCCTTTTAGATAAACAACAATGCGTGGATCCCATTGAGTACGACGGACGTGAGGGGTGCTAATACCTTCCCCTTGCGTAACCGACTCCCGAATCCAGACATGGTTGCAATGACCTTGTCTTTCCCTTTTCTCGTTAGGTTTTTCCGATCGTTTCCTTTCCCTCTCTTTGGGATAAATAACGAAAGTGGCGACTCTTCTGTTTTTCCGCCGATTGTTTTTTGCAGTTGCGACAGGTACACCTGCCAGTTTTGGGGCCCGTCCGCGGTCCTGTCCTCGACGGTGGCGAAAGCGCCGGTCTGATCGTCTACGAAATACGAGGATGTCGCCAAAGGCTCCTCGGCCACCCATTCCTCGACCGGACGAACTCTATCCTCGACCGTAGGAACTTCTGGTTCTTCGTCCACATCCATGGTCCCCGGGACCCACGAAGTCATGATCACTTGAAAAGCAGAAGGAAACGGCGCATTCGATGTCCAAGATCAAATTCATCCTTCCACCGCAGGCCAAGTGAAAGGGCGACGGGGACAACATCCACGACGATGATAAAGGCCATTCGGTCAGCCATCCTTGGGGGATTCATCCTATACCCCTGATCGTCCCTGGGACATTCATCTAACCCTAACGTCCGTCCCTGGGGCATTCATCTAAAATTAAAACCTGTCCCCGGGGAGTTCAAACTACCCCATCCCTCCCCGGGGAACTCAACACACCCTGACTCTAGCTTTAACATACAATGTAAGGAAAGAACAAGGAAAGAGAACTTACTGGATTACTGGTAACGACGGAGTACGTGTCGGTGGTTGAGGTGGTGTTGACGAACGGGTGCAGACAAGTCAATCGTCGCGTAAGAAAGAGAGCAGAAGCGAAAATGACGAATGGGCAGGGTCCCGCTTACTTATACCCCTAGCGCGGGACTCGAAGCGTCCATAGGCACTCGAATGCCCTAGGGTATCCGCCCCACATGGTCCACTAAACGCTTGACACGTGGCGTAGGAAACTAGTCATGTCCCTTCGTCCTCCCCGCCTACAATGTCGGAAGGGGACACTTCCTCAACCTGGATGCCCGACAACGCGTAGACGTTCACGCCCATACATTCTCGGGAGAAACGAGCAGGCAGAACCTCTCCCCGCGCACTCGCCCTCCTCAGCGCAACAATATCAAGTCCTCGCTCCTTTATGTTGGAGCTACGACTTGGGGGGCTCCTGTTCTGGACTTGGCTCGGGTTTGTCCAGACAGGCCCAGTCCAATTATATATGGGGAAGGCCCCAAACCAGCCCAACAGGGCGACGTCAGGAACATGACCTCTATCGACCAGACACTGCCCTCGCCAAGCAGAGCACCTCAACCGATGGGCAGGAGCCTCCTCCCCGTCAGGCAAAACAACGTGTCCTCCACACGTTTTCCACGTGCCCTCTCCGCGGGGGCACGTCATCAGCCAACTACCCACCTCCGAAAGAGGTGGTCAACCCACCTTCTGGAGATCATGAGAAAGTTGATCTAGGGCGAAGACCACGTCATGGTCTTCACTACGCCACGTAACCCCTAGCAGTCACTTGGGTTGGGCCTGACCATCCAGCCCAACGCAAATGACCGTTGGCCCTGCGCTGGGGTCTCTCTATAAATACCCTCTTTCACTAGAGGGTCAGGTATTCTACTCTAAACCTTCTTTCCGTATTTGCTCTCACTCTGGTCCATTCTCTCACTTTGGCATCAGAGTGTCTTGTAGGTACACCCCCTCCTCTTTCATACCTCCGGTGAACAGGTGGCCGATCAACGGCGCGTGGCAGGTCATTGACTTCCT